AGAAAGGCATCCAGCTGTTGCCATTTGGAAAATGGACAAAATGCTGTCCAGCTTTGTGCACTATTATGGCCAAAATATTTCACTTTTATACCTTGGCCAGCCACCATTTAAGTTATATGCAACAGAGTATCCACAGGCTGAATTATTTTGCATCTGGAGTAGTTTTCATCCCTTGAAGGAAACCGTATTTATGCCCCAATGAGGGATATATTTGGCTGCAAAATGTAAGATGAGTGCAGAAGAGAGGCAGAAGGATTCCACAAGTGCCCTTTAAATCAGTTCAAGTTGAGTTTGATGGATGGGTTTGATGTGGCAATGCTGCAGGGCATGCTGGGAATGCAAGCTTTAGCCACATTTCATGTTACCGTTTATACCTCTTTGTAACACGGAAATTAGTCCAAGGCAATGTCAAGACGTTGGATTTTCAACAGGCTTTCTCTTAGCCAGGGATTTAACTTGATGTGGATAGCACTCACACCAGTGCTGTTATCTCAGACCAATCCTATAATCCAATGCAGATTTAGCAAATATGACAAGATCTTGAAAAGCAAAAAACATAAAGCAGTGAATTATTTCAATCCACTGTTGCAAAATATAAAAACGTTTGCCTTATTTTCAAAATGATAAAAATATGTTGTGTAGAGTTTTACAGCTGCGTGCCACACATGGGAGTGTTCAGGAAAAGTTATAATGTGCTGGGAAATGGTTCTGATAATGTCCCTTTGTTTAACAAGCCTGCAGTGACACAGCACATTGCCACAATAATTCAGGGTCTTTGGGAGCAGGAAAGGGGAAAACAATACCATTAGAGTTATAACAATCTTCCCATGTTGTTGTCCCCATTGAAATAACAAAGTTTGGACTCATAATTGCAGCCTTGCGTGTTGAGAAAAAGCGTGTTGCAAGGACATTTTGTTTTGTTTCATCTTCAGATATACTGGTTGCTTAAAAAGAACGAGGATTAACTGGATTTTATTCACACACACAAATCAGATGTCAGGGGAGAAATGAAGCAGTGATGAGCTCCATGCCTCTGGAATGCTGACTCTTTACTTTCCACATCCAGTTCTCTGGTGGTATTTCTCGTCTTTCTCCTCAGAGCTTGTCTCTTTTCAGAAAGGTTAAGGCTCATCTACAGTCTTAGCCAAGCAAATCGTCTTCAGTGTGCTGCATACAATGGTCTGAAGCTGAGGTTTCTGCTGCTGTTGTTTTGGATTGCAAAGTACTGTATAGTAAGAAGCCGCCTAAATTTCTTCATGCTCCACTTGGAAAATAACTACATAAATACAATGTTACAACATTATCCATAATTAACTGTGGTTTAATGAAGTGAAATCATTCTTAATTGTTTCCAGGATTTGTCTCCTCGAGAGTTATATGAGAGGATTGATACCCCTCTCGCTGGGTTAAATATGAAGCTACATTCCGTTAGCTTAGCCTAGCATAATGACTGGAAAGAGGAGGTAAATAGCAAGCTGTTCTATGGTAAAAAAGGTATCAAAACCTCCCTCATTATCACAATATTAAGTATTTGTTTAATCCGTACGAAAGTGTAAAAACAACTTTACATTTTTAACAGCCTGGATTGTGTCTGTCATCAATCTTCTACTCGCCAATAAAGAGAGGAAGCATATTTCCTGTGCAGATATTGGCATTGGCTTTGGGCTGGAGAAGTTAATAAATATGGATGAAAATGTGCCTTTCATTTTCTCAAGACTTCATGTGCATAATTTCATTTTGTACATGCTGTGCAATATCAGGGTGAAGAACCATGAGATGGTTGATGTTTATACGCTCATTTCACATCACATTTTTCTGTGATGATCCATACTGAAGCAATCCGTTCGGTCATTTTGTTTGTTGATAAGGAAACAGCTGGTGTAGTGTGAGGATTTTATGGAAACTTCACTTTTCGTGCTGAATGCACCTACTGATTGGTACGCTATAGTACAGCAGTGACATTTGGCGTCAGTTTGATGCTCACATTCAACGTCTTTCCCTGTGCATTCTGTATTCCCATGCTGTTTCCAGAGGGTTTTTTCAATATTTTTGGTTGCCAGCGTCTTCTTTCCCCTCGGGTGTAGATGTTTGCTTTGGGGAAAGGGGGAAATGAAGGGGAGAGCTGCAGCGAGCAAACTGTGTGCAAGACTTTTCAAAGGCCTACCTTGTTGTATCCCAAACTGTGTCTCTGCCAAGCTTTAAAATATGACTGGACATCTTTTCATTGCTGCATTTAAAGTCTTTGCATGCATTTACCAAGTTATATTTGTTACAACCTAGGACTTGAAGGTTGTAGCCTACTTTGTAAGGGATTATTTACTATATGTCTTAATATACATTTATTTTTGATACCTCTTACCTACATCTGATTACCGCGGTTGAAAGCAGCTGAGAGAACTAAAATATGGATTTGTGCAGCTACCATGTGTGTCTTGGTTCCACAAGGACCATTCCCTTTTTGGAGGGTTGAGTCAGCCTTGTTGGGCTGAGTGTGTCAGGTATTACCTGTGGCGGTGTGTGGGGGTTCAGCGCCCTCGTCTGGAGAGGGATAGAACTGCAGGTTTTATCTGAACGACTGAATGCAATTTTAATACCAGATGGATAAACCTGAAGCTTTTAATGAATAAACCACAAAGCACGGTGATTCATCCAGCTTGGTTGGTTAGGCAGAGGTGTCTTTTCATTTATTGCCCAATATAAAACATAAATGCTGCAAAGCCTTTGTTTATAAAGTAATTAGATATTTTGAGGGAGAAAACATTAACATGACGGCAGGTTGTATAGTCCTTAAGTTTATCTAAAAGCACCTTAAAATAAATATAACCAGTTACTGTAAAATTAAGCATTTTGGTTCACATAATATGCTGATAAAAACCTTTCTGAAAAGGTCCTCATTGACAAAGTGATTCCTATACATTCCTCTCACAGTTCTTAACCATATGAGAATTAACAAGAGCTCCAAACTCAATACAAAGAAAGTTTCTTTGTTGTGGCATTCATGGCAAGAAGACAACATATCTTTCAATGATTTTTTTACCTGTTGTTATGGAAAATAACATTAATGTACAATAATATATTACGTATGTGTGTGCTATGAGTGCACTGCTAATGGTCAATAAGTAAAAAGGTCCTTCACTTTTATCCCGTTGGTACCCAGCAGGTGTTTTTTTACTACACAAATGTTTTTTCATGGAGGTTGTATCTGAGTGGTCATTACTTTCTAGACTCTGGATAAATCTGCGCACTTGGCTGCCATCTTGTGGTAAAGATGCTAATGGTCTCATGATTCTTTTTTTTGGTCCTTGATAACACTGATCCTAGATTCTTATTTCTGAAGGCTTCTCATGTTGTTTGATTTGAGCGACCTTGAGGTTATGAAAGGCGCTATATAAATTCAAGTTATTATTGAGTGTTATGAATCAATTGTCTGCCTGCTAGGATTCAGTTTCCCAATACTAAGTAATAGTAAACAGTTAGTAACACTATGCAGTGCATACATTTTATTTAATAAGGGGGAGACTGTTTTCATCTCTTGAAATCACTTTTAATGGATTACATTTATAATTTATCATACAGCAGAGCTATCACCTTTATGTCATTGGCTACCAATGTTCAGTGTATTTCCAGTGTATTTCATTTCTTAATTAAGATAGCATTTTATACTTGACCAAACATTGAAATGTCTAGGTTAGATCTGCTCTGTAGGCACAACATACAACATGCAACATACTGAAACCCAGTATATTGTGTGCAATAAAAAGAGGATAATATTTGCATCTTTAAAGAATATTTACCAGAATCAGCTAACATGGAACAAGCACACAGCCATGTGCTTCCTTGACTAGTTTTGGGGTTATTATTTGATGTGCCGAAAAATAAAAACAGTTAATATCACTCATACATTTTTGACTCAAAGCTGCTCTCTTTCCCTCAGATAGAGATTGGAACACTCGCACCTGACTACAACTACCCTGTAACCGAGGCCTCAGAAGAACAACTAGAAGAAGAGGAGGAGGGGGAAGAGTTGCCCCTGACACGCCAGCTCGTTCCTCAGGGTTCAGGGGGCTCTGGGGTTCTCATGGGCCCAAACACACAGAAAGGTCTGAAAAAGCACACACTCGTAAATATAGAGTTCAGTGGGTGACAGAGAGGGCCTTGCTCCGGTCTATATGGAGTTGTAAAAAGACAGCAGCCAAAGCTCCTAACAACAAAACTCTAATCTATTCTCTAAACTCTTCTTCAACATCATCTTTTCCATGTGCATGTCTTCCATTTAACTAGCTGTTATGGTTAAATGTGTCCTTTTCAATGACTTTGTCCATTTGTCACCAACCACTTAACCCAATCATCACTGTTAGCTCCATGCCTGATTAATGTTCTGTTTCACCTGTCTGTTTATTAATACCTAATCTTGTCTCTAACAAGAGGTGGAGCTGCGTCTGACGCCCATTGACATCCTTCATGTGTCCGGGGATTTTGGAGGCTCGGTAGGGTCCGGGGCCTCGGGAGCTTCTGGGGCTTCTGGGTCTGGAGGCTCAGGAGAACTTCTGGTCTCTGGTGGCTCAGGGAGTTCCGGTGATATTGTCTTTATCTCCGGAGCCTCTGAGGAGCTCCACAGCTCTGGGGGGTCAGGGGAATTCTTGGCATCAGGGGATATCTTGATATCTGGGGATCTCTCGGGCTCCGGGGATCTCTCAGGCTCTGGGGATATTTCTGGAGCCTCTGGAGATCTTGGCTCTGGGATTTCTATTGAATTCCCCCTGGGCTCTGGGGCCTCTGGAGACCAGTCTGGTTCTGGGTTCTCTGGAGATCTCCTGATTTCAGGGGCCTCAGGAGGCTCTGGGGTTTCTGGGGACGGTGAGTCCGGTTCCTCAGGGATAACATTGATATCTGGAGGTTAGTATGCCTGCCAGAAAGGCTTTTGGCAACTCTATTTCTTGATGTGTCTAAAATCACCTGTCATACTGATTGTCTTGAATTCCATTTAACTTCCTTTTTAAATGTAGTTAAATGTTGATTTGTTTGCCTGAATTCTTACTTTATTGTTTCTCTTTGTACGTTTTCAAAATCATGGTGCTCCTAACCTCATGTGTAATAAAAAATGTGGGTGTGATTGATTAATGGGTTGAATGATTGTCATCTGATCCCTCCACCTTCCTAATCTCATGTCTCCTAACCCCAACCCTTGGCTCTAACAAGAGGAGGAGCTGCCTCTCATTCCCGAGACTATCCCTAGCGAGGCATCAGGTGCTTCAGGGGAGTTCTCGGGAGCTTCAGGAACCTCAGGGGCCTCTGGGGATCTGGGGATCTCTGGATCCTCTGGGGCTTCTGGTGCTTCTGGCTCTGGAGACACAGTGGTCCCTGAGGTAACTCTGGTTCCTGATATTGATAAAGGTCAGTATCTAATCTAGACATATGTTTAAGGCAAGGTTAAGACTAAAGTCCATGCCTGACACTCAAATCGGTATTTCAAAAATTCAATACTTACCATGAACAAGGTGCCGATGCCATTGCTGAGGCAATGAATCTTCTTATGAACTGGCTTTGCTTTTTGAGATCAGCAGCTACAAAGGTACCCTGTGGAGTTTCTGACCAACAGTAGTGCTATAGAGAATGTGTTTTACGAGTATACCTAAGGAAGAACATGCATGCGTTACATATTTCTGAAGCTTTTTTCACACTATTGTTCTGAATAGTGGCGATAAAGAGGAAGCATTATGTTGCTTCAGGAAAATCAGTGAGGAAGAAGACTGCTAGCCATTTAACCTGTATGTAAATCTCCAGTCCGCCTTGGTGGCAATGGGAGAAAAAAATCCCCCTAGAACGCTTTTTGCAAATGTTTTATGAGAACGGTCACTAACATATCACTTATTTGTCAAACCTGAAGAATACACTACATGTGTTTTGTATGATTATCAGAAACTCCACAGGGCACCTTTCAAAAGAGTTTTTTAGAAATATAAATGCTTAGAATGGTATATTCAAACTTAAGCAATGATTTTATTTATGTACTTTTTTTAACATAATTGTTTATACCAAGTCCAATGTTGTTATCTAGCCTTGTAGACATTGGGGCAACTTACACCCTAGAGATGAAACCGCATTTGGACTCGCTTTCTTGAGCATTTTGTGCCCATCACCTCTCATATCATTAACTCAGACAAAACGTTTTCATTTAACTTCCATTCGTCAGTTAAATGCCATAACCGCTTGGTTCACACTGCAAATAAACTGTGTGTAACTTACCACCGTGGCAACCAGTGGGCTACTGATTGCCAGTCATGTCCATGCTGATCTAACCTGTTTCTTTAACACCTAATCTTGTCTCTAACAAGAGGAGGGGCTGCTTCCGACCACAACAGAAACCCCTCAGGAGGGTACTGGTGGTGTAGAAGGGTCAGTGAGCTCGGGTGAACCTGACGAGCCTGATGAGCCTGAGATTGACAGGAAAGGTCAGTATTTAGATACACAGAGAAGAATGATAAAAAAATGTCCGTTCACTTTGGAACTTGTCAACACCATGATATCCTGAATCCTCATTTGATTGACTTGCCCTTTGGATTACTGTCCTCTGATTATACCTCTTACTTTTTCTTATTGTATTACCTCCCTCTTCTTTGATCCTTCTCATTAATGTGCTCCAGGTATGCCCACTTGCCTGCTGTGCACGTGCCTCGGCGGTTCGGTCTACTGCGATGACTTGAAGCTGGATAGTGTTCCACCTCTTCCTAAAGACACCACTCACTTCTACGCCCGCTACAACAGAATCACCAAGATCAACAAGTCTGACTTCGCCTCCATGAGTACGTTTGAAAGAAAATGTAGAAATGTAAGACAAGAGATTTTTAGAACCTAGTATTAAGATGATGTTTTTTCACATCCTTTCAGACAAGCTGAAGAAAATCGACCTAACCGCCAACGAGATAACGTCCATCGATGAGAGAGCATTTTTGGGTCTTCCCGAGCTGGAGGAGGTGTTGATTCGAGAAAATCATATCTCTCAGCTGCCTGCTCTCCCAGAGACCATGAGCTTGATCGATGCCAGCCAAAATAACATTGGCACCAAGGGTATTCACGAAGAGGCGTTCAAAGTACGTACAACTCCAGCCCCAGTCAATAAAGGCCAATGTGTCAGTAGTTATAAGGTTGTTTATATGTTAACGCTACTATATTTGCACTTCCAAGTTTATTATTATGTCTTGAGGTGCTAGTCTTGGTTTAAAAAAAACAAATGTAATTACAAACATATTCATATAAAAATGTTTGTCATATTTAGCTTATATAACATCATTTGATTTGATTGATTCTCCAACATCTATATACGTTATATAATTTGAGAGTATTTGATATTTTGGTGTTCTTTACAAGACATAATTGTTATCAGAGGTGGGAGAAGTACCCAGATCATGTACTTACGTCAAAGTAGAGTAGAGTGTAGGAATACTCTGTTATGTAAAATCCTTGTTTTTATTATAATTATTGATGCATTAAAGTGTTGGTAAAGGTGAAGCTAGTTTTGACCTCTGAATTGAAGTGGAAGTACAAAGTAGCAGAAAATATAAATACTCAAGTAAAGTGCTAGTATCTCAAAATTGTACAGTGCCTGAGTAAATGGTTGTTTAATTTTGCACCACTGAATTTTGTATAATTTACCTTTCTATCCAGGATATGACCGGTCTGTTGTACCTGTACCTCACAGACAACAACATTGATTACATCCCTGTGCCTCTACCAGACAGCCTGCGATCTCTACACTTACAGGTACATCAGCTTTGGCCCCATGGATCATCAATTCCCATCACTGGCCAACACTAAAATACTTCTTTTTTTTTTACATGTTTGAATTTTATATGAAAATAAGGGAAATGAGAAAGCAATCTGGAATAATAAATCACAGGCTATCTTCACCCACAAAGGTGTTTTCACTTTGGTCTGATTACACCTCTTCTCTTGTCGAAGTGGGTGGAGCTATAATGAAATGACATGATGTCACTAAACTTCACAAACCAATAAGAATGGGTTTTGCCCTAACAGGTGCAACACAATCAAGCTGGTCAGAGGGATGTCAAGCACTCACAAACAAGTGGTCTCATTAGGCAGATTGAAAACACCTGTGTGGGGGGGTGTCATGGGATAGCCTTTAAGATGCTAACTCAAATGAAAGAAATCCTTCCATGCAGTTTCTCTGCACATAAGCTGCAAGCACTTCCTGAACAGCCCGAGAAACCATATGTATTAATGCCCCCCTAAAAGGAAAACACTGAACGTTTTTGACACTGGTATCCTACTGAATTCTTTCCAAAAAGCTTGTTTAATCTGTTCAGGTTCTGCTTTCAACAAACAAAACAAATTGACCCTGATAGAGGCCACAGGCCAAAGTAGTGTAAAGAGTATGTAAAGTTGTGTTGGAAAAAACTTCTCTGATTTAAAAGGAATAAATATGAAAATATTAATATATATTACACATGACTTTCCTGAATTTACAAAGCTGTGAAGGTTGACGATCAAAGAACTTAACCTTTTACCACACACATTTGATATCTAGCTGAATGACTGTATGATATACCAGAGGAAATAAGCAGAAATTATCCACATTAGAGGGAATGAAACTGCCTTTTTTGCATAATAACTATTGGAATTTATTATAATAATTGGGTCATTTGACAATTTTTCCTATTTTTCCAGAGTAACAAACTACTTTGTCTTAGGGAGAAAAAAAAAATCTTGCCTATATAAGGGGCTAAAAGTCATGGACTTATGTCAAACGGCAATATAAGGCGATAAACCGTGCTTTATTCTAATCTATAATTATTACATTTCTCCATGATAATATGATTTATCAAGAGTTACATACGCATTGAGATGTATCTCATTATGTATCTTCCTATCGTCTACACAGCGTAACAATATTCAGACGATGCACGAGGACACGTTCTGCAACCTGAAAGACTTCAACTACATCAGAAACGCACTGGAGGACATCCGTCTGGACGGCAACCCCATCAACCTCAGCAGGACCCCGCAGGCCTACATCTGCCTGCCCCGCATCCCCATCGGGGATCTCATCTAACCACAGACACAAACCTACACTGTTGCACACGGACTCACACAAATACAACCACATGCACACATCTTTGTACATATTGACACACCAAAGCCACACATGCAGACATGCTAACTATTTATCAATACTCAAAATTAAATTAATTACAATTACAAACTCATACATGCTGCTGACATATATTATGGATTGGTAAACATTTTTGTGGAAATGTATGTTCCATAAACAACGAACAGATTCTGGTGATCAAGCACATACATACTGCTCTATCTTTCTGTTGTTTTAGATTTTTATAACACAACGTAATGAATTTGTCACTCTCACATTCCCTCACAAAATGCATGTTCACACACATAAGAACTTTTTCATAAGCCAAACTGTTCCCCAACTTGATTTATAGAAAACAATAGGCAACATTTGGAGAAATCAGTTTATTAAAAACCCTCAAATGTCATGTATGTGTCTGTTTTAGTGTTTGTTCATGACTGGCAAAAAAATACAACCAGTAATATTTTTTAATGTTTTGTTTTGTAAAAAAATAATATTAATATTAATGACAAATCTAACACTTTTGGAAATGTATACTAGCATAAACTTATTGAAGCTGGAGCTTAATGGAAGGTACATTGAGTATCTAATGCAATAAAAGACGCATTTAAACACAATCATTTGTTGTAAAGTCTGTACTGTAATATAAAAATATATATTCTGAAAAAAAGATTTTTTACATGAACTGCAATATTTGGTATAATTCATTTCAGAGTGATGTTTAAACCATGCACAATAGCCAATACCAAAGACTCTAATGTCTAGAGTGGATCAAATAAAGAATATTGTTTGATTTGGGAGGGGGGGTTGTTGATTTTTATTGTGGATGGGGTTAAGAATAATGCTAATAGCTTGCTATTGTGTGCTCTGTATGGAATAACCACAAGTGAATAAAGTTGTTTTGAAGACCTCTCCAAACTAGGAGTGGCTCAACGTTTTCATTGACGGTGAATGTACATTTTGATTTGTATGGACTTAACTAATTTAGAAAACTGCTCAAAAATACCTTTCTCTATGGATGTGTTGTGCAGAGAAGCCTCATGAATCAAAAGTTTTCAATAAGTTTTTCAAACAAGTTGAGGAACTGCTCCTTCCTGTCTGTGACATCTGAGTGTTTCCGCTTGTTGCTGTCTTCTGTACCGTCCTCAGTCCTTTCTCTGGGTGCAGAACGTCTCTCCAGCCTGGCTTTCTCTCTCTCCAGAGCCATCCGGTCCTGTCTCACAGCCTCCTTGTCCCTGTCCAACATCACCTTCTCCCTCTCCAAAAGGGCCTTTTCTCTCTCTATGATCGCCCTCTCTCTTTCCAGGGAGGCTCGCTCTCGGTCCAGAGCGGCGATCTCCCTGTCCAGCACCGCCCTCTCCCTCTGTAGCACCTGCTGCTCCCTCTCCATCACCCGTTTCTCGCTTTTCATCAAGTCCCTCTCATGCTCCATCTCTTGCATCATGCTTCCGTCCTCCGTGGCCTCCTCATCCTCGTCTCCGTTCAGGGTGACCTCAATCTCAGGCCCTCCTGCGATGGAGGCCATAGAGGAGCTAGTTACCATGGGTATTTTCCTCCTCTTGCGTTTGGACATTGAGGGAAAATTAGCGCTGCGGGGTAAGGCCTCGAGGAGGGGGGTGTCGCCATCCAGCCGACCTTCCATAGCGTCGTCCATCACGTTGAAGAAAGGCCAGCCTTCAGGGTACACTTTCACTCCAGCTGGAGGGTTCTTTAGCCCCTGAAGAAGAAAAGTTAAAAATCAAAAACGACATTTGTAAAAGTGCTCGATAAATCTATGGGTTCTTTGTTCCTGTACCTTGTATCTCTTCTTCAGGTTTTCCCATTTTTTGGATGCTTGAATATGGCTCATCTGGTAATGCAAGCGCATATGTTGTAGGATTGCCCTGAAGAAACAACACACAAAAACATTAGAGCTAACACAATGAGTTGATCTATTCAATATATATTGAATATTTATTGAGTCGATAAATCAATAAGTTTTACTATTATTGTTTTAAATATATAATGCCCAAATGTCACTGGTTTTAGCTTTTCTTTTAAATATGAATGTCAACAAAAACGTTTAAACTTGATGTCCTACCTCCATGCCCACATGGACGTATTTCTCTTTCCAGAGAAGAGGTTATTATTCTTGACCCTCAGCTTCACAAAGTCTTCAATTTCCTTGACACTCACTGAGGGAGAGAGAGGGGGAAGAAATTTGTTAGAAATTACTTAATGAGGGCTTTTGTAAAATATAGAGATACAAACTGAAACCCTCAACTCAAATCAAGCATAGAAACGTATTAAAAATCAGTTATTTTAATGCAGTGTTCAGACTGCATTTCAGCTGATTATGAGCAGTGTCACCCTTAATTACAGAACGTGTACCGAATACTGGAGTCCATTTCCTTTTTAATTCAATTAAAACATAACACCATCTCAAACTACGAAAAAAAAAACTCATTTAAAATGAAGTTAGCAGACCATACATCAATCTGGCCTCATGGTAGGTCTATGCTCACTTACACTAATATTACATAACAAACACAACCTACACACCAGTGTGTAGGCCAGTTTAAATAGCCTGCGTGTATTAACCATATTCACTTGTTATTGTTGAATTAATTCTTACTTCCCGGGCACTTCAGCGTGGAGCCCACTTGCTAGGATGCTAGGTGCCCAAGCTAACTCTCGTTATCTGTGAGTTAGTTTGAATAAAAAATATATTTTCCTGCTGCCTATACTTACTTTTATATGTGTACTCCACGGGGCACACTTTATCATAAGTGGTGCTCGTGTAATCGTGATCTTCGTTTTCCATGTTTCCCTCGTTTACGTTCTTCGTTTAGTGCCCTTCGTAGGAAAAGACGGGAAGGTACTTCCGCCTTTAGAGGGACCTTATCTTCTTCTTCTTCTTCTTATAGAGCGCGTTTAGGGCTGTGTCAGCTCAACATTGCCATCTAGCGGTGTGGAGGTTTAGCATACTGCAAAATAAAATAGTAATATTACATACAGTCCAGCTGTTTTTGCTCTACCACGCAATATTTGTGAACCTGTACAGTTTTCAATAACACTTTGAACGTTACATTGACATTGCATATTGTTTAACTGTTTGAATGTGTATTCCTTTAAGTTATCACCTACTTTATCATGCATTTGTACTTCAAATCAGCAGTCGATCTTGCTATGATTTCACGATCTGCATTACCAGCCTCTCGTCAAACAGCGTATGGGAGTGGCTGTAGGCTAAGTTAGGGAAACGAAAGTGTTAGATAGAGGATGGCGTCTGCCTATCGTGAGTACTTTTTTAACATCATTATATTAATAGTCATACTATAATAATATAATATAATGAGTTACTTATGTGTTTTTGTTTTATCGACATGCTTAGGCACACTTTTGCCCTCATAAAAAGAGTGGCCACTCTGGCCACTGTATGTTATTATATGCGAAATGAGACATTTTGAGTTGTAGTAGGTGTTGATATGAGGCAAAATAAAAAAATATTAATTGAAGGCTATATGCCACGTTATAGGGGAAACACGATGAAAGTATTACCTCGCAATCGGACAGTCAGACACAGATTTATAAGAAGTGGCGATGATTGTTTGAAAACATGACAAGTTTCAGTTTCGTTTCTTGATGAGCTCTCTGTTCTACTGAAGCCCAAACATGTATAGTAATAATCATGGTTTACTTTAATTTCTCATTTACTCTGAGTTAAATTAAATTCAGGGTTATTATCTTTCCTTCATTAATCTATAGACTATAGGCCTACATTATTTTTGCAACGTGTAGATCATGGCCATACAGCATAGGCCTACTGGATGTGATCTAATGATCCAGCAGGGGGCAGCAAATAAAGATAATAAGTCATTTTTTTTCAATATTAACTTGCACTTTCTTTTAAACTGTGTTTTAAAATGTACTTGAAAGAATATCTTATGGCCCTTTATTTAAAAAAGCGAATAATTAAAAAGTAAACTTTGATTAATTGTTTACCATTTCTCCTTGAACAAATATCAGTACAGAAAACAATTGCAACATAACAACTAAAAGTGTCCCCACTTTTCACCCTTAAAGGATAATGATCATGTTCAGTCATTATCAATGGGAATTTTGTTCAAGTGTTCACCAAATATGTAAACAAATTTTGATGTGTGTTTTTCATTCTCAATTATTGTTTTGTGCCATTGTTCCCAGTTGCTGACGAGGAAAAGCCCTCTAGTGACCCTGAATCCTCCTCTGAGGCGGAATCAGACGCCAGTGAAGAGTCTGACAGTGACAGTGATTCAGATGAAGGAGATGGTTTTCAGGTTGGAGAAGATGTTTGAGTCAGCATCTATATATTGCACATAAAGCCACAAGAGGTGGATCCATTTAAGGCCTTATCTTTTAAGGCAGATTTTATTTGCACCCAGGTGACTTTAGTGGAACATGCTAGTATAGCTACATTGGCTATTTACACCCTGGGTGTACTGTTAAAATGTAATAAATACTTTTTTTTAAATAGTTACATTGTTGGAATATCATGGATGTTATGCTAAAGAGAATTTATTGCCATGTTTGACACCCTCTATTTTTCACACTGATGTAGAACTTTACTTTATTTATCAATTGAGTGATTCAAAATCTTTCCATTTTCAGTTGGATGGGAACGGGCCCTGCAAGTATTACAACAAAGGCCGGTGTCGGGATGGTGAGAGGTGCTCTTTCCAGCACGTCTGCCAGTTTGCCCTGACAGGAAGCTGTCGCTACGGGTCCAAGTGTAAGCTGAACCACCCCACAGGCGGGGGGGAGCCCTCGGGGGCCAGCAACCGGGATTCAGGCCGATCTACGTCTAGTGGTGAGGAAGGTTAGTCCCGATTTTGTTGACTACCTTATCGACTCATCAATTAGTGGTTTTGAGTCACTACAAACGTCACTTTTTACTCTGCACACTGTCATTTTTCAAAAAATGTACTTCTAAATGTTGTCTTTTTAACCAGATGCAAAGCTCACTGATGGTAGATGCTACCAGTGGCAGCTGAATGCTGAAAATGGTTGGATGGATGTTGATAATGATCACATCCTCGAGGCCCAGTATTCGCTGCCTCACTGCAAAGGCATTAAAATCTACAACACACTATACGGGTAAGAGATAACAATGCAGTGCAAAACATTTTCTACATCAAAAACGGTTTAATGACTGATCTCTCTGTCTCTGTCTATAGGGCAGTGAGTATAGATTTTAACCGGATGAGAGTGGATGGAAAGAGTCTGAGAGCGAGACGTTTGGATGATGGAAACACTGTGTGGATCTGGTACTGCACACTGGGTCGAAAGTGGATCAAGTATGGAGACAAGGTAGATAGAATTAAACGATTGGACCTTACTTTTGTGTGCAAAAATACAGCAAATCCCTAGTTTAACATTTGATCTTCTTGGTCAATTTGACAATGAATACTTTTTTTTCTGGATAGGACTCAAAGGGCCACCCCAGTCCTGTGAAGAGCTCTGACATAGAGAACAAGTTCCAGAGTAACCCAACAAGCTCTTTCACGTTAAACGTCGGTGCTAAAACCTCTGAGATTAAATTCAGCGGTGAAGTATACTCAAAACACCTTCACCAAATACACATGTTGACTAATCCTGTCCCACTAAATCCAAATGTAGAACATTCTGCCATTGGGAAGTACACACCCCATGAGAAATCAGGGTCGTGTGCACACATTAAAAGCAAAAGTTGTGATAATGAAGTCAGGAATATCCCAACAAGAATCTAAACATATAGTGGAGGACCGGACTGCAAACCTAAATAGAAAACTATTTCTGAAGTGAAATACTTCCTAGGGAGTAAAAACCCAATAGCAGTCATTGAAATGTAAATACAACTGTAGAATTGAATAATGTCATTCAAACATATCAGCATTCAAATGTGCAGAAGTGTGCTCTTGAATGTGCGTAGATTACCTAAAATCAAATCCCAATCTATGTGTGAACTGGATTGTAAATTGGCCTAATGTTAGTTTCTACTTAGAAAGCAGCTTTATTTTTATTCTTTTTTTTGGCAGAAATGCGACAGGTGTCCAAAAAGAAAAAGAGAAAAGTAACTCGTCGACCACTGTTCCGACAACAGCCCGCAGGAGCACAGTGAGTCTGGATTGTGTGAATAAACCATTTCCCAAAGTCAAACCATTTCTTTAAATTAATCCAGAATTGTATATTTACAGAGCTTCTCAAGCACCATTAGCTTTCCAGAATCTTTCTGTGGGCTCCAAACCACAGTGGCAGTTTGAGGGGAACAGTGGAGCGTGGCATGTGTTCAAACACAGGGTAAGTTATCTGGTTACATTAAACTAAGAAATTGTATCTTTCTTTGTTACGAAGTGCAAAAAACATGATGTTTCAAATGGTTTCAGCAGAGAGGAACGTCAACTGAATGCTCAGTAATCAGTGATGAGATCGAGAGGAAGTATCAGCAAAACCCCCAGAGCAGCATGACCTTCGACGTGAAGGGACAGACCTACAAAATGGATTTTGCAGGTAGTTATTTTTCAAAAACTGCAAGAGGACACATTTGTTTTACTGGTTAACTATTTACTAATAAGTTCATGAGTTTATAAATCGTGGTTTGTTACTAGGAAATCCTATAAAATACATGTTCCTGCTAAATAAAGCGTGAAAAAACAACTCTCCCTGCTATAATGAACTGTCAGTTGCTTGAATAGTAATCCTGAAACACAACATACAGTAGAGCATTTATTTGTTTTATTTTCCCTCTGCAGCGATGATCCAGACCAACCTGAACACCAAGCATTCACGCAGGATCCGACGTGTGCTGGTGTGAGAATTAAAGGAGATTTGGAAGAGCTCAAGAAGAAAATCTATAAAACAATTGTGCAATACCATATTTATACAATCAATTCAATCTGAGATGTGTTTATTTGGGGTATTTGGAGCAATAATATAATAATAATAATCATTGTTATGAATTGACGTGGCAGTACATTGGCGTCTTTACAGAAGAAATACATATGATTCAGGATAAGCTGGAATGATGCCAAAGACTGTTCTTTTTTTATTTGGATTTTGTACAAAAAAAGCTTTGAAGTTTACCAGCTCACCTAAATGCTGCCTGGCAAGTTTTACCTCAGATTATGGATACTTTACACATTTTCCTTTTGCAGAATTGTGCACACACACCGTACAAATACTTACTACCATACTATAAGATGACATTACAAATATTAGCTTAATAAGGAAAAACACTCCTGGAATTATCAGACATATATTTCACGTTACATATACACACTGCCTGTTATGTTACAATATAATTGATTGGTTTGGATATATGTCTAATGCAAATTCAAGGTAAATAATAATTACCTTTTTTAAGTGTTTTATAAAAGTCAGGGGGGTGCATAATGCAATATAAACATGTCATTATTTCTGCTCAAGATTCAAACTATTGGATCTTAAGGTTTACTCTACTTCATACATATGCATTTTCCTTCAATAAAAATGGATCTAATGTAATATTGTTTGTTGTTTTAATATTTTGAAAATCCATATAGTATATCGACAGCTGTGTTAATCTAAATAAATCCCTGTAGACAAAGAACACAAGACATAAAAACTTCACTTTTAATAATATATGTATGTGTGCATACAAAATACAGATGCTGTCAAGGAGTGAACTCTGAGGCCTGAACTCAATTGCACGACTCAAATTCAGACTCGGATAGTGTTTCAAAATAAAGACTTTACTGGGATTTGCACAGTAATGAAAACAAGGAAAACAAAAACACTCTTTCGAGGAAAACTAGAACAGTGATCAATAACATAGATCCGTGAGAAGTCCGTGAGGTAAGCAGGAACGTAGGTCATAGAGAGACAACGAACTGACAATGAACAGGAGGGCGCTAACACAATATATACACAGGTAAAGGGGACACAGGTGGAAACAATCAGGGCGGGGAAAATAATCAAGGACGCAGGAGACAGAAGGGGGCGGGGAGCGTGGAGGCCTGAAATGAGAGGGAGAATTAATTAAGGGAATAAACATAAAGCACAGGACAAAGGGACATGACCAAACTAACATAAAGAATAAACTTTCACTATAAGTTTCTTAGACATGACAATCTACGAATTAGATCAAATATAAGAGTCAGCTGAATTAGTGTTGATCCTGCGAGGAGACGTTTTGTGTGAAGAGAAATTGAANAGTACAGTTTCTACGGCCCGTCTACACAGCAGCGTTAAAAAATCTTCCAACGCTTCTGCCCATTCACTTTGAATGGGGTGACGTCACGTTGCCTCGCTTAAAGCGAGGCAACGTGACGTCACCCCATTCAAAGTGAATGGGCAGAAGCGTTGGAAGATTTTTTAACGCTGCTGTGTAGACGGGCCGTAGAAACTGTACTTTGAAGAAGTTTTTAAGATGAATGGAAACTTTACTGTACTAAATATCTTGGCTGTTTAGGACAGTAAACCTCACTTCCTTGCATGCCATTCTCTATTTCTTTATCTTTTAATCACAGCATGTGTAGTTATTTAGAAATATCCATAATAATTTTTTCTGAAAGTAAAAAGTGTATAATTGCTTTTTGAACGCATGAAAATTAAAGAAGATTATGTTCTCTCAAACCAGTTTGCAGACAGGTAGCAGAAGCTACTAATAGTCTCAGTCTAAATGCAACAGGACAGCCTGAAGCCTCTATTACCAATAACTCAGCAACTCTACTACTATGGCCAACCAGCAGCCTTAATATCATTTTTGAATTCAATCATGAATTAGTCAGCAATTACACCAAAAGGAGACATATCTGTTTTTTACAGGGAACTAAATAGTAAGTAACCAAATACTTACTCCAGTCTTACAACAAACAACTCTTTAATAATGCGTATGAAGATTTAAAATTGAACATCCCAACCATTGAAAATTGTCATTCAGGGCTTTATGTATCTCATCTTAAATAAATATATATTACTATGAATAAATCTTGACTACAATCTGCCTGGTAGACTGAGAAGTAACACATGCAGAGGAATATGATAATGCTGATTTCCTGCAAGGGGCTTTGTGTCCGAGCCAGCTATGGTAATTATTATTAACTGCATACGTTTTGCAGGATCCGTTTCATTTGAAGGCTCTACTTAAATCAACATGACTTTGAAACATTTGGAAAAGTTCACATGGCTTTCTGCCTATAAAGCTGATTATGGATAATTATAATGTGGAAAACAACTGGTTTGGCTGGGAAAGTTACTTTCCAAGATATGTGTTATTTATACACTTGAGCCATAGTTTAGCACAATTGTGTCTATGAATCTATCTATGTCCGGACATTAAGCATTGTAATTCATAAACTAGACCAAATTAAAGAAAAACGGCATGTAACAACGTGCCCATAAACACTTTCAAATACTTTTTTAATTTCCAAGGTTCCTTCACCCCTTTTACATTTAAACTGCAAGTACTGGAACAGATGCTAGCAAGGTGCAAAACATCAAAATGAAGATAATTCAGATAAAAAACATTTGAAAACTGCACTGCCCAAGCCTGTGCTCCTCCTCTCTTAAACAGATGTATTACTAAAGAAAGATGGAAGTTTACCTGCTCCCCAAACAGGTGTGAGAGGTCTGCATTCAGTCAGGTGCTGTTTGGTTCTTGATGTTTTCCCAATGAACTCTGATGAGTGTCCCCTGTTACACTTGTATTGTTGTAAGTTGAATTTCCCAAAGGCTGCACCTTGGACACCAGTTGAACCAAGAGGATGGAGCATGTGTTGTCTGTGGGAGGACAATTGTGGGAGAGTTGGGATGTCCTTTCAGAAATTGTGTTGTCTACTTTTCTGCCAGCCCAGCAGTTTTTTCCGCCTCTTTTTGTTTTGTCGCCTTGTTTTTTGTAAAATGTGAATTCATCAGTGTGGCGTGGCGTTAAGTGTGAAACTGCTGTCACTCCACCCAACTTAACCATTTGGTCTACAAAGGAAGGAGGACTTGCAGGGGGGGATGGGTGCACGACCATTTCATTGCTCATTTCAGCTCACAGGCCATTCGGTGTGTTTTGTAGGCTGTCAGGTGAAGTTACAGAGGGGCTTAGGGGGGTTTTCATTCAGACATTCACACCAGACTTTTTACAGGTGGATTAATTTTTTTCTTTATTTCTTTTTCAAACACATGTCTTCTTTTTGCAGTTCTTTTCAGAGCCCCAGATCACTATCAAAGATAGACAATACTAAAGTTCTACTTTATTCGTTTTGTATTGGCTCATCCATAAAATATCATGGACATGTGTATTTCCAGTAAACGTGGAGCCTTTAACCTATTTCGATAATTCAGCTCCTTGTGGGTTAGGGTTAGGGTTTGGAATAGGGGTTAGAATACAAAAAAACAACCTCCCCAACGGTGAGTGTAAGAGTCATGAAATGTGGCGTCTCTGATGGTCTCCTCCTTCCCGTCATGTGTACCCAGTTTGCCGCCTCTAGCTTTTTCCTTTGATGTAGCCGTCATTGAAACCCATTCTTGCTAAAAGTTATGATCCTCATATAACAGCGGAACGGTAAGTGGTACGATCAACACATTTGATTTGCGTGCATGTGTCTCCCCCCTGCTTGTGTTTACCAAGTTTGGAGTTTCTAGCTCTTTCTTTTTATGTAGCGGTCATTGACCCTCCAGGGTTAGGGTTAGGGTTGCTTCAATCTTTAGCTTCGCTGCTGACTCCCCTCCTTTTATCTGTCACTGTTCTCCAGCAGTGTGTATACACATCTGTCTAAACTTTAAGGGAAAAGGATGAGAATGTACAAGAGATAGGGGGATAGCAAACAGCAATTCTGAAACGTCTGACTAGAGACTCTAAAGACAAGTTAGAGACAAGGAATAATAATAACAATAGCGGTAAAAAGATAGAACAGCTGGAGTTGGTCTGGACTAAAGGAGGGTCTTTGGAATTTGGCTGCCAGTCTTCAACAGCTGATTATACTTTCACTTATCGTCAAGCAGGAGGATGAGAGGTTTAAGGTTTTATAAAAGGACTTTATTGTCTAGACACAGGCAGGAGCTGCACTCATGATTTAAATAAGGGTAACACAGGAGGAAGAGGAGGAAATGGTTCGAGATTGGGGATCGGTACGAATGACCATATTAAAACAGAGGAAATGTGAAAGCTGCTAAAACAAACATGTAGCATGTTGTAATGGTAGTGGTTGTGAGTAGACTGATAATGTTTACCTCCCAAGATGTATTAAATGGCATAAGGGAGTGTTGGGTATTTAAATGACCACTCGGCACCCTAAAGACAGACGACTTTCATTTACACAAGCGAGTCAAAATAAAATTAAACTCAACCCTACAGCTGGATCTAATTACAAACACCTAGCAGTAGCCTAAATCAAATGGGACATCTGGAAGCCGTTTACATAATTTGTATAAATGCCAGGAATCTAATCAACTAACCATCTTAGTGTCTGCTCTCGTAAGGAACTCTTGACTAAGACTTTTGGAAGAAACTAGTGTCAGCACATGTGGTGCACATCAACATCAATTAGTGGTAATTGTTACAGTTGGTGCACAGTTTTGGAAGGGCCCAATCTATACTTTAAATGAAGTGACAGGTTTATGTCAAAAAATACATCCTAAGAAATTGACTATGAAATAGTCAGTTTAACGTCTTGTCTTTCAATACTGTGGAATAAAAACGTTATTTAAATCTTACTATTATAGAAGTACAAAACTAGGAGAATAGACTGCAGTTGCTCCCAGACTTTTTGGACACTGAAACTGTTTGGAAGACATCAACTAAAAATGAATAGCAGACATTTTAGGCTTTGACATAATCCAGAGTCTTTTTCTGATGAAAAATTCTGCTCCAGTTTAGTGTCCATTATTACTAAGTAACACAATGCCACATGCACAATAGCTTGTTTTAAACCACAGTTAAATCTAACAGTAACAATCCACAGCAAGAGTTGACAACTTTATGAAGTTATAAATATTAAAAATACAGACCACCACATTTGTTAAGGTGCTCCTACATTTTTTTTTGATTTGTGCCAAAGAATAATCCAAGATTCATTTCATTGAAATAACAAAGCTTATAACTGCGGTTATGTGCTAATCCCTGCATCCCCTGCATCCCTCCAGGACCAGATGTTTTTTGTTTCATTCGTCAGCTTTGAAATGGGGAAAGATCATAGGTTCTCTCTGTAACTACAGTAAATGAATGTCTTGAGAAATACAAAGTAAAATATGGGCAAACAGGGGAAAACTACAAGGTATGACTCCTTGAATACAGTTGGGCCCTGAATTTAAACTGTATACCTGAAAAATAAACAACAGACCTTATGGAGAATAAATAAATATTCCATCCATTTAAAAACCCTTTTCCTTTTGTAAATCCCAGGAAACATTCTTACTTCATCTCAAAGATTAAGGCCAGAAAGGAAGATGGTAGCTGCCAAAAAAAGCACACTTTACAGGATAAGAAGTAATGTGGAAATAATCATGCCCAGTAGTAATGGACGTATTCTCCATTAACTTGTTGTTTTGTTTGTTGGCTGCTTTCACTTGGCTTCAGCTTGTTCCTAAAATTCTGACAACTTTTAATAAAACATACCTTATAAAGCCTTAATAACTAATCGTTTTATTAAATTAGCAAAATATATGTTTCTTTTATAATCTAGTCACACCTAAATAGTGGCTATTTTGGATTTATATAGAATTAATGTTTGCTTTACCAACAATTAATAAACCATTATTCAAAAAACATGAACTATTGTTTGAAGTATATTTTGAGTAAATTTAGATAAGCAAATAAATTAAATGTGCAGGGCAATCCTTAATGTTAATTATGTTTATGCTCAATCAAATGAGACGACTTCACAAATTTGTTTCCATACATGCTCAACATTTATTCATCATACAAATATGTTGGAAACATAGTTTATTGAACTCTGTTTGGTAACAGCAAATCCAAGAGCGGTTACCAAGTCAAAGGCCACAAAAAAAATCACGTTAAAAAAAACATTATTCTAATAACATCAACCCAAATGACACTGCTGTCAAGTTGTATTGATAAGAAGGAGTTTTTAAACATGGTGAACAACAACATAACAATGAGAGCGCCTTAACTGCAAAAGCTGTAGTTTATTATAAAAGAATGGTACCATTGGTTGCATGCAGGTAATGCAAATGTATACAAATCAGCAATGCACATAAAAGTAGACAGCTAGAAATGAGTTCACGTTAAGAAACATTTGACTTATGATTTCCAGAAAAACCTCCTACAGTATCACCTCAAGGTTTAACTGAGCAGAGTAAGTAGTTTCAAGGTTAGTACCAATGTTTTTTAAGCATGTCTCCTTCATTCTTCTCTTCTTCTCTTGGGCATTAAGGATTGGTTGTGTTTGATTATCGATTTGTTTTATTTTATAGCTCAAAGAAGTCAATCATTCAGAAAACATGGTATTTCAGCCAATGCACCATTTGTGAAGAAGGCAGACACGACTAACAAACACTGGCATTTTTCTTAAAACCAATTTGATCAATGAAAGTTGTTTACAAATGATACGTCTATGTAACTACTCTTTACATTTGCTCATAATTTCTTACATCAGGCATTATACATTGGAATCTGAGAACGCAGTCCTTTATTTACTGGTCCTTTGCACAGCAATGGATTCATTATTGTACTCACATTGTATTATACATGCTAAACATTGGAATGCACAAGACAGACAACAAAATCACGGTTGACGACTGAATTGAGACATTGGAGCCATTTTTCACTCCATTCGGTCTGTATTCAATATCACCAAATTCAAGTTTGGAATGTGTAAAGTGTGTGTTTATTATCAAAGTAAATGAATACATTTGTATTCATAAAACTTTTGGTCCTTACATTTTTCCATTTGTTTGTATTTTTTATACCTTCATGTTCATTAGAACATTAGATGTTTGATGAATCCAAACGTTTTATTACATGTTTGGTGAGATATGTTGCGAAATTGTTGATAGCTTGTATTGCCATATATTGTATTTAAAATTTGCCCAGCTCTTGATTAATTCCAGATATTAATTAATATGATGAAGATGACATTACAGATATTACATCATTTGAATCCAGAAGCCTTTGGACTGATCTGTGTCATCGTAGTGGAGAGGGGGTCATGGAGAGGGCATATATTTGAGGGAGGTCCTTATTCAAATATGACATCTGAGGCCACGCGCAGGCAGTTGGAGGATTCAGGGGGCATGCTGCTGTGAGTGACCATGTTACCGTCCAGACGCAGATGCTTCAGGTGGGAAAAGCTTGTAGTCGAAACATACTTGCAAAGACTTGTCAGCTCAAATTCTGCAAAAAATGGAGAGAAGGTTGTGGAAGTTGGCAGAAAAACAAATGACTCAAAAGTTATTATATACCATCAAAACCTCTTATACGAGGCTTCAAAAAGGTACACTTTGGCAATAACGCCCAAAGAATCATAGCAATATGCCTGCAAAGAAAGCAAATAGGACGACCATACTCTAGCATACATGGTTTTAAACAGTTCACAATTTCAAATATTCCAAATAGTAGACTTTACACATTTTATGATGAGGAAACCTTTTGTGAGGCATACTAAATGTAGACAAAACATGAAGAGAGATCCACAAAGCACTTTTAGAAAAATAGTCAAACAAGAGTAAAGAGTTTCCACTCACTTTCAATCTTGTTGGCCTGGAGGTAGAGTTGCTCCAGATTCTCGTTGATCTCAGGGATGGACTTCAGTTGGTTGAAGGACAGGTCCAGCTCCACCAGTGAAGTCACGTTGAACACTCCTGCAGGGATTCCGGAGTCCACCAGCTTGTTGTGCGAGATCCTCAGGGACTGCAGCAAGGGAAGCTTGCCAAGGTACCCTGCTCCAACAATGTCAATTTCGTTATAGTCAGCGTAGAGGATTTCCAGTGAACCGGGCACTCCAGCTGGCAGTTTCTTCAGCTTGTTGTGGCTCACATCCAGGGACAGCATTTTCTTTGGCCCTTTAAATGCCCCCCCAATGGCATCAGAGGTTAGCTGATTGTTTTGAACATTGACGGAGGTCAAGTTCTCCTTGTCACTCAACAGTCCAGAAGGGAACTTGGACAACTGGTTGTGCATAATCTTCAGCTCGTCAAGGGACTTTGAGGGAGGGATGACTGGCTCTGTCAGGTTGTTGTTGCTGAAGAATAACTTCTCCAGGGCACTGAGTTTGTCGATTGTGCCCTTTTCTATTTTAGCATTGGTAATCTGGTTGTTGTCAAGTATCAGCCAGCGAAGGGTATCGGTAACATTATCGAACACTCCTGCCTTGATCTCTTCTATCAGGTTGTTCTGAAGGTACAGGTACTTGATTCCTGTAGGGACTACTGGAACAAACTTGAGCTTGCGGCTGTCACAATACATGGCCGTCGGGAAGTTGAATGGGCAGTCGCACTCTTGATGACAGTTAGGCCCTGAGGGCCCATGCCGGGAAGCAGGTTGGTAGTCATAATCATCATACTGGCACAGGGCCACACTGACCAATAGGAACAACAGGGGTAGACGAAGAGGTAACATTACTTCTGGAGATCCAACAGACAGAAGGAAAGTGAAAGCAGAAGATATGTTAGAATGTTAAGAGGGGTCAAAAGCAACAAAAGTTATCTTATAACAGCATTGAATCCTAACCCTAATTAATGGATATGTTTTATAAAAGCCTCATAGTAAAAGCCAAAGTAGGATGTATTAATGCATCAAATAAAAAGGTGAAGGATAAAATAAAACTATAACACAAAAGAGTCCAGATTTCTTGATTCAATTATCTGTGTCGCGCCACATCCTTGCGGCTGCAGCTTCAACCTAACTGCATTACTTCATCTGCAGCACTTCATCTATCAACTGGTACATTTCTACACAAACAAGCTATTGAGCAATAATGCAAAACAGATGTTTGAGTAGTACATGATAAAGATATACGTACACCAATGCACTCATGTTAAACATATGTTGATGGTATGAAGCACTAAATACAGGGAGGTTAATCCTTTCATTTTATAAACAACAAAGAAAACCAACAGAATGAACAACTTAAATCAGACATATAACTAGTTTAGGATCATGACTATACAACATCAACCCTGCAGACAATGCAGAACAAGTTTGATTAGTTCCAGACACATAAAAAATGCAGAAACTGGATCCAAGTGCAGAACAGATCCTTCCCCAAAGTCACAGAAAACTATTAAACAGTTCAAATAGCCACTGAAGATCTGTATAAACATGCAAGATCTAGCTAAATACATATTTTTCTGAAACATTATGCAAATCCTCAAACTTCTAAAATGTTTTTTTCTTTTTGTTCCATGCACTGGGATTTTTGCCTTCTCTGTTTCTGCACTAGCCACTACCCAAAAGCCTGACAGTGACAGCTGATAATCTCACCCGGAAAACAGAAATACAGAGAAACAATCAAACAGGAAATCATAAATCCATGCAACCACATGCAAGCTTACCTGTGGTTCTCTATCTTTGTGTGCGTGGGGTGGAAGGGCAGTAGGTAAGACAGTGTGGTGTTCAAAAGCTGGAGGTCTCTGGAGAAAAACACAGAGGGAAAGAAGGAGGGAGGGGGAGGAGAGACAGTGAGGGGTAGATGGAGAGAAGGAGAGGGAGGAGGGGAGGCTTCAACTTTAGTCAGGTCGTCACATAAATTGAAGGAGTCATCGGTATGGATTTCTGAGCAAGCAACATCCAAAAACGACTGTTAACTAGCCAAAATGCAACAAAGAACACAACTATTACACAAAACAAGTAAGATGCTCAAAATAACACCTTCACCTTTTACAATGTGTATCACCTTTACAGATCAATCACTTCTTGATGAGGTACACTTCTTCTTCTGGTACTTGTCCTCCAAACAACCACCTTGGAGTGTGTGCACGCAGAAACTCGGGTTCAGTTGGGGAGACTGTTTGTGGAACAATTTAAAGAGTTGGAGAAGCTTTGCATGGAAAAATGTGAAAACGATCTCTGGCAGCCATTTAACCCATAAGCCGGTTTTGAAGAGAAATACATTCAGCTGTACCTCTCGACTCGTCAATAAAGCATTGGAAAATATGACAAAAGGTTGTAAGACAGCCAGACAAGAAGTTCATAACATTTGAAGGAAAACATTGCCTCTCCTCTGTTTTTGCCAAATAAATGGAACTGTAAGGTCGGAAATGTAAGTTAAAGCCAATCAAAAATAGTTACTTTCTGTTAAGTACCGTAAACCCTCTTTATTATCTACACAAATAGAGATACACAAGACCAAAATTCACGTGGGTGTTGTTCTACTCATCAGATAGGCACAGTTAAGAAAGGGGGTGGAGGAGATAAATTACCAAATGTTTCTCCCATTTGTTGGTGGACATCCATCACACCAGCACAGCATGCCCTGAATTGACGTCTGGATTGCATTGGTCGCAGTGCAGTCTGTTACTCTACTCACATACCATTCTTGGGTGCCATCTTGGACGCATTTCTCTTGTATGGAAAACGTTCATGCGTCACATTCTAACTCAATATATTCGGTTTCCCAAGATAGTTCTATGACATTTCACGTTGATTTATTGACATTTAACACATTTGATCTATAAGTTCCTTGTAAATGGTGTAGGGAGGATAATCCATCACGTCACTGTAAGTCATTTTGTGAGTCACTTTTTGTTGTGCCCCTTCACACTTAAAAAATAATGTTGTTTGAGGACTAGAACAAACTGTTTGTCATTGAAGTACAGAGACTCTCAAAACCTCCACAATATGAAAGCAAGTTAATGGTTCTCAGATTGTTGTTGTCAGAAGTATAACAATGGCCTGCTTCTCCACTAACATTCAGTGATAGGTGGACTTGGAGTCAATGTGCCACAGGCCATGTGGCAAAGTAATTGATATTGTTGGGTTAATAGTTTAAAACCCCTCAAAGGTGACCTAAGACATCCACCAAAAACATGCAAATTATCTAATTACGGAGGTTTTGAGATGGTTTGTTATCTTACTTATCTTACTCACATATTACATTTCAACAATATATATGTCAAATTGCTTGATATTACATTTATTCATAGGTTTTGTTTCTTCAGTGAATATCCAAATCATGCATTGTTTTTGAATTCATATGTATATTTGTGCTACCTGCCCATGTGAAATAGTAAAGGGCAGAATTTAATGTGGCTTGTCTTTAATATAAGTTAATGAGCCACATTAAAGGTGTCCCTATTATACTGTTTTTCATCAATAAATGATAGGTCTCAGATATATACGAAACATGTCTCTGAAGTGTTTTGTTCGAAATACCTAACAGATCACCCATTGTAGCATCCCATAAACCCCTCTGTTTCAGCCCTGTTCCAAAAGTTCTGATTCTCTGTCTGTTACTTTAGATGAAAATAAGGAGACACTCCCCACGCCCTCTGAGAGATATTTGGTTATAAAGAACACAATGGTGCTCTAGGAGGAGATTCAGGTGATAAGGTGGGGGGGGGGTTACCTTGGTTGGTTATTGGCTAATGGTTACATAAGCCAAAAAAAACGTTATGACATCATAAAGTGGCCAAAATCTGATCAGCTCATTTTCAGACAGGTTTTTATATAAATGGATCAGGACATATTTTTTCCTGAAACTTGTGAGGGGACACATGTTTATGTATAAAATACATGAAAAAGTGGATGTTGCACAATAGGTGACCTTTAAGGTCAATTGAGCCCAGGTGGCTCGTTAAGGTTCCTAACAATTATTTTGTTCTTCTCTCCACATGCACTGCAATCTGATTTGGCCACTCTATAGGCAACGCCTTACCCTTGGTTTGATTTAATTCATTTGAAATATAATAACTTCTCCAAATAAACAACCCTATGTCCATGCTTTCCTGATCATTTCGGGCCAAATAAGTGTCAAACCCTTCAAATTGAATGAAAACAGCTCTCATTGGTCCAGACATACTTCACATTTGTGCTTTTAAATAAAAAAAAACTGCCTAAAATATATATATTTTTAGGTTGGGTGTTTTTAACTCTGTTACTGGAAGTGTTTTTGTGTGAAGCCAGACTTAAATTGTGCAGAGTGCAGTCTGGGAAACAGACATTTTGTCATTTGCTTATTCACTTTTCCTTCAATTTGTTGATGTCTGCCTTATGCTCTTATTCCATTAGTCGAGACGCAGACATTGGCTTTTGTCACTGTTTTCCTAATACTTTTGTGTGTACTCAACTTTGACTTGTTTAATTTACTCATAGTAATGCCAAGTTATGAGTTATATTAGGACATAAATCCATGGATTAACAAAACATGGAAACAGCTATTTCCCACGCTTGGCAAATACTTGAGATAGATTTATACCTTTTTTTCCTCTATTTTATTTTGTCTTCTGATGGTCAAAGTAGGCCTTTATAATAAAAGCAGTATTCAACAGAAATGTGCAACCTTCCCCTTACAGTTACTTTGGATCTCAGAGTCTTTATTGGTTGTAAGTTGTTGTAAAAATGTAAAAAAAATTAAAAGGACCGGCAATGTTATTGAAGCAATTAGGCAATATACTTCAAAATCAATCGAATCACTTCCTATAATGGGAAGTGGCCATGCTGCTGATTTGAGAATCAACATCTCTGTAAATCTGTGCATTTTTAGAACAAAATCCATAGCTTTTTCAGGTGGCGCCTGATTTAAAAAAAATCTGTTATCTGAGTTATTTTACTTAATTTTTTTCTGCAAAATAAAGCAAAAATGCAGGAAATTCATTTGAGAGTTGGTGGATTACTTGTTATGATATTGTGGTGTTTAGGTTTATTATTGTTGTATAATTCCACTTTTATGACAGTTACCAATCATACAGAAGGTACTGTTTCCTAATGATTTCACTATTGATTTATACATGCGATGGAATTGTTGGAAAATTAGACGAGACCCTGGGATAAACGTAAGAAGAGATTGCACATTTATCGGACATTCAACATTGTGCCATTCATCTGTAACTTGCAGAGTAGGTTTTTTTCTTTGAGGGTTGGTGGCCTTTGACTTTGTTGAGGCTGGGAACCACACATCAGACATTAGTCATCCTGTTTTTCTTGCCATATTCAGACTGACTTTTATCATTGTTCGTAATTGATTTGTCCTTTTACAGTCATTTTGCTGAGTTCCTTGTAAAAATGTGAAATGATGGATGACACCCTCGAACAAATTGGCGATGGATACTTATAAACCCACTCATGTATCATTTCTGATTACTTCCATGCTTTCTGAACGGATACAAAATAATGCTTCAACGGAGACGCTTCCCATTCACTTTGAATGGGGTGACGTCACGCTTTGCCGAACTGAATTGTGGTTCCGTTGCTTCGCTTTGCCTCCATTGCTCGCGGTGAAAGTTGAGAAAAGTTCAACTTTTCAAGCGTCGACGGAAGCGCCAGCCAATCAAATCATATGCCAGTACAAGCACTAGCCGATCAAACCTCGTGCTTGTGTGTCGGGGCGGAAGATTCATTTGATTGATTGTGGTCATGCGCCAGACACGCCCACCGGCAAGCTTCAACGTGACGGAACCGCGTGTAGGATATGTCAGTGTCAAAGTTGACATGGCTAACGTTACCAGGTCTGTTAAACTCTTGGACGTATGGATATTAAAGCTCACCTATTATGCTATATTTGAACAGGGCCATATCTATACATATATACAGATCACCCATTGTAGCATTCCTCATACCCCTCTATTTCAGCCCTGTTACAAAAGTGCTGATTCTGGGTCCGTAGCGCTACGGCCCGTCCACACAGCGGCGTGCGTTGAAGCTTCAACTTTGAATGGGGTGACGTCACGCTTCGCCGAACTGCATTGTGGGGAGCGTTGCTCGCGTCAAAAGTTGAACCATGTTCAACTTTTGAAGCTTCGACGGCAGCGTCAGCCAATCAAATCCCATTTATGAAAATCTGCCAGTACAACTGCTAGCCAATCAAACCGCGTGTATGCTGCGAGTAGTGAATCACCCGGTGCTGTATGATCAGTCTAGCTGTTCATCTACCGGGATACAAACCGGAGGAGCCAGGCATGGAGGGAGGTGGCAGAGATAGTGGGTGAAACTGGTAGGTTTTCGCCTGTTTGGGGAGTTTATATCCAGTGTACCTCGTTTAAACATTTAATGGACAGCTAGCAGGCATAGACAGTATATATAGCTAGCATGGAATGCTAGCATTTTGCTTTGTATGTCGGGGGCGGGAAATTCATGTGATTGGTTGTTGGTCGCGTTGCTCGCGTTGACTCCCCAAGCTTTAGACACGCCCAACGCCAAGCGCAAATGCACGCTGCTGTGTGGACGCTCCGTGACCGCGGGTAAAGTTAGTAGTTGCGTTGAGTTGAGCGGTTGTGTTTTAGTGAGCTGGTATTTTTCAGTAGTTTTACATTGTATTTCACCATTTGTAATCATGGTGCAGTATTGTTTTTGTGCAGGTTGCACAAATACCAGCCTGTCAGGACATCGAGTCCACAGTAAAAAGGACCGGAGCTAGCGTTCGTTCCTGGGTGCGTTGTTCATCCACCTCCCTGCAGCACATACTCTCTACAGCTTTATCAGGAAACCGTATTACTTCTCTCTCCCCCCCCTTCGCTGCTCTCTCTCTCTCCCCTCCGGTACACGGCACCGTAAGACGTAGTGTGGAGTTGCATTAGGTAACGCTGTGGTGGCTGTACTGCTCCAGCCGTCTCCTTTGTGTTTGTTTGTTTCCCCCTGTCTGTGTTGTTAGTGTGTGCGTGGTGGCTGTCACTCCTGGCTCCCGGCTCAACCTCCACTCACCTGCTGCAATCAGCTGTGCACCCTCCCCGACTACACACCTGCTTTCCATCAAGCCATTTACAACGGCATATTAACGGAGGCTCCACAACCTTTCTCCGCCAGATCGTCAAGTATCAGCCGTATCTCGCATCTCCCCTCCGGTACACAGCACCGTAGTGTGTGGAGTTGCATTAGGTAACGCGAGATACGGCTGATACTTGCGCATTAGTTTCTGTTATGGATCAGTATCAACAGTCCTGCCAGTAACGTTACTATATTATCAATGCTACTTTAGTTATAGCCTGATATATGATAGCTAACTTCACAATGTTGTGATGTGACGTTAGCTAACATTCTGTAGCTAACGCCGGTCACTCACCAAGATAGCTGCCCAGTTCNTTTTTTTTTTTTTTTATGTTTTTTTTTTTTTATAACCATTTTTCCTCCTGGTCTCTCGCGCCTCCCCTGTCATGCCTCTGCGCCCCCCTGGGGGGGCGCGCCCCCCACTTTGAGAACCACTGAGTTATACTGATATTGATCTTTATTAGTTTGGCCTTTTTCAGGTGGCTAAAAATAAGTTTGCCGCTGCCTCCTCCC